GGGTTTAATATTTTTCCTAGAACTTTTTTTTTTTTTTTTTTTTTTTTTTTTTTTTTTTTTTTTTTTTTTTTTTAAAAAAAAAAAAAAAAAAAAAAAAAAAAAAAAAATCAAACTAACTGGCAAAAGATAACTGACTTCTCTAGTTAAATAAATTTATGCAGAATGATCAGACACACATACAGCCAAAGTAAACATATGGTTTCCTGTAAGAGGTGACCTGCCAAGGTAAAGTATTAATTCCAAAACTTCCTTAACTCAACAGAGGTGCTACTGGGAGTTTATAGCTGGTTGTAACTTCATCACAGAGTAACCATATCATTTTATACAGCGGTCCCACTCTGTGATGTGAAAATCTAGCATTCATTCCCTAGCTAGGAAGTACGGAATTGCAACTAGATGTATCAAAACTTACTTTAGTTTTTAGCATATTCCTATGTTTTAGAAACCAGAGAGAGTATTTTTATACATACACCAAAAAATCTGACACTTTCAGTTTCCTACACAGAGAAGTATTATTTCCTATCAGTGAAGTAGAGCTAGAGGCTCAAAGGCTAGAACTGTCACACTTAGTATGCCAGAGATACAAATGAGAGATTCAGCAAAATACATTCAAAAGAGGATAACAGAGAAGCAAAGAGCTTTGCAGTATCAGTATTTTTCCCCTCCCAAACTAAGCTGTTTGTCTTAACAGTCACAAATGCAAGTCTTAGGGGTTTTTATTTACCAGCCTGTATTCAGGCATCCAGAATGCTTATGAATGAAAGAAAACCAGAGTGAGAAACTGTTTGAAAGGACACAGAAGGTTAGTTATGATGAGCCAGAGGAAGCTGACATAAATCTAATTTAAATTCTCTTACACAGGAAGTTCCTTGAAAGTATGCATCATTACCTTTTACAAGTGCATTTAGGCAGCCATTTCTTAATTAGACAATTATACCTGCAACCTCGGACACAACGTCCTAATTCTTTCCAGTGGTACTTGACATCCCTTAGGCTTAAAATTAAAAAAATAACAATCCTGTTTTACTACATACATTTGAGTGCATTCTGCAATCTTAAAAAGACTTCACTAAGAACTTGGTCTACTGTGGCTTTGTTCCTATAAAGCTTCTATCCATTCAAGCATGTTTTCTTTGTACTTTGGTAGGAACTGCCGCATAAATAAGATCACAGAATTATTACCCACATTTTAGAAATCCGTATGCTATTTATCAAAGAATAGTAAACAATGCAGCTTTATTACTTTTATCTTAAAAAGATAAACTTATGCTAAAGCTTGGCTTCCTCCTTTTCATTCTGACTGCTCATCTCAGTGTACGCAGAGTATCTCTACTGAACCATTAGTGCAGTCCATACATTCACATCCTACCAAACTAATGTACAAAGAATTACCAAATATATGCTGGACTTCTGTGATTGCTCAAGAATAAGTTACACACCCTATCCACAACCTGGAAGAGCTCTGGAGAGTCAAGAGGCAGCCATGGAAAGCTACTGACATTTTTATGCCTCTAGGCATGGGCGACTTTGAGAATTTTTAGAAAGCTGTGGTCTGAGCACCTCAACATCATGAGTCCAGAATAGTTTCGTAATTATCTCAATGACAACGAGAAGGGACAGGAGGATTCTCCTAACGCCTGTGATCCTTGAGCATTTAATACCCTCAGGCTTAACTTTTCATGTGGAATCGCCATAATAGGACATAAACCATAAAGTCAGGCACAAAGGCAGTAAAAACTTAAAACATGCATACTTATTCTTCAATACAGCAAAAAAACTTTCAGAGTAAACAAAATTGTATGTCACCCACGCATTTCATTTTTTTCAAAGGTATAGAAAGAGGAACTCTGAAACCCGGTACACGGTTTGTAATGACACTTTTACTGATACAATATTCGGTTGATTTATTCACTTACTTTTTTTGTTTTTTAATGTGCCTTCCTAACCTGAGGTCCCACTATTATTTTCCACAGACAGTACTCTGAGAAGCCATGAGATGAAGCTGAATTTTCCAGCAAATCTACACTAGTGCCTACTTTGATTCACCATTTGGTTATCCAAACCATTGCTACCAAAAGCAAGCAGATTCTTCAAAAATTCCACAGTTATCTGAAACACGGATCGTTTTAAATTATTCAGTGTTCTCATTATGTCTACGTAAATACAGATGTATTGTATGACAAAAAAACCACCCCCTCAACATGCTCTAGTTCTTCTGAATTTAAGCTACTGGAGAAGACTCTGTTCATCATTCTAAGCAGAAGGACAGCTATTTGGTATAAGTATAAACATAAAATGTTTTATTCTTATTTTGTTCAACAAATCAAGGAACTCTGAAGAAATGAAATATGCCTTTAACAGTGAGACTTCCAACACTAAGGCACAAGCAATTGTTCTTTGTTTTTTAAAATCAATAACTTATTAAAGTGAATGGTAATTTTTACGGGGAAATTAGTGAGCTTCAGAAAAGATCTCACATTAACTGAGTCTCAAATTCTGAGCTGATAGTTACAAGCAGAACATTTTCTTACAACTTATTTAATAAAATTCAACATTTAAGAAAGTGCCCGGATTTTCAACCTTTTCATGAAAGAATAGTCTCCTTTGCAGCAATGAAGACTACATCACTGATACTCTGCCCACAGGCATGTTGCCACTGCAACAGAAGGTGGTGGAGACAGAGGGATGAAAAAATGCTGACAGACCACTGCCTGTCAGCAATCGACTCAAATTACAGGATTTATTTTGGACAGCTTTGATTTTCTCCTGAAACAGCTTATTTTCTTTCTACTTTTATGATGTTACTCACACAGCAGGAAAAAAAATAACATTACTAATGCATATGGATAAATAACTTCAAACCTCAGTTCACGGATTTTAACAAAAGAAACTGAGCAGCAAAAAAAAAAATAAATCAAATGGTATGAAAACATTAAAGTACACAATATTGTGGAAATTTACTTATCAACACTGCAATAAAAAACAGTTAAACACTGATAGTCTCAGTAATATTCAGCTTTGCAAAAAAAAAAAAAAAAAAAAAAAAAAAAATAAAAAAAAAAAAAAAAAAAAGAAAAAGCATTTGAGAGCACAGAAAGCAGTGTCACAATTACCACTACCTCATCGCTCCTCTTCCCCAAAACATATATATATGTACATATATGTGTATATACACACACTATATATATTTTTTTTTCTATGGGGAATTTCAATTCTAAGAAGTTCTAGTTCCCTTTTAGCAGATAATTGTTGCTGTTTGTGAAACTGGCGGCTGTTCCAGAATCTGGGCCAAAGAGTAGATATAAATATCCCTTCCCAGAACATAAAATATGCAACAAAATACTGTCTTACTGCATTTGGTATCTTGTCCAGTAAGCCTACACTTCTAAAAGAAATAAAACAATGCAAGATGCACAGTGTCTTTCTATGTTCAGTAATTCTTAGACACAAAATATTACAGAAAGTATCTAAAGTGGGTAGTAATAAATATATCACTGTGTGGAACTTCACACTGACTCGTGCTCCTTGAAAGCACTGGAAAGCAGACACATTCTGAGTAATGATGTTTTCTTTGTTTAACTGCTAAGCAATAAGCCAAACCTGGTATTAAGAACTGAACTCATTTTTTCCACTTTTAGGCTTCACCATCATTACAACACCCTTTAAGATAAGTCAGATACCAACAGCACGTGAAATACCCATAGCTTGTGCTCTCCAGTCAGCATTGTAGCTCTCCACCTGTGTCCACGGCTCTGCCCTGATGTGACAGTGAATGGGATGTGGCTCCCTCTGCAATTTATGAATTCAGTGCAGCTATCTCATGTGAAAAGCAATACAGAAGTACTGGATAAATGGATGAATGGTGCAATGAAAGAAGAAGGTATTATTTTTACAGAATTATTTTTCACAATAAAATTATGCCCATAGAAGACTAAGAGTCATAAAAAGCTCCAGTCTGCCCGTGCCTTTTCTGTAGTGGAGCCCAGAGCTAGACACAGCACTCGGATGCATCTCACCAGTGTTGTGTGGAGGGGAAGGACCACCTCCTTAGCCAGTTGGCTAAGGCTCTTCCTAATGAGCCCAGGGCTCACTGCCCTGGGCACACTGCTGGCTCTTGTTCAATTTGTTGTCCATCAGGACCTCCAGGTCTTCTTCTGCAAAGCTGATTTCCAGGCAGTCAGCCCCCGAGCCTGTCCAGGTGCTAGGGGTTATTCCTCCCCAGGGGCAGGACTTGGCATTTCCCTTTAAACTTTGCGACATTGCTGTTCGCCCATTTCTCCAGCCTGTCTGGATGGCAGCACAACCTTCTGGTTTATCAGCTGCTACTGATTTTGCATGAGGATGTTAAGGGAGACAGTGCTGAAAGCCCTGCTAAGCTACTATCTGACATCAGGGGTCAGGAGGCTTCTGTGAAGTTCACGTTTTGGTCTTTCTGTCTTGCTGCTTTCACTATTTCTGCCTCAGGAAAAAGGATAAACCAGCTGAAATCTGTCGCCTTAGAGAGTCATCTTGCACAGCTTAAATCAACAAACAAACAAGTAAATAAGATAACAACAACTGCTATTAATTAATATCTGAAACAAACATCCCACTGCACAGACTGGCCATATGCAAATCGATCCTCATAGTTTGGTCCCAGTTTCTGTGCTGAGCAGTGTTAGGTTATGTGATAAAAGGCTTGTCTCCACGAATACAAAGGATTTTTATTCTT